AGTGTTCGGGACCTGAACATATCAGTCCCCACAAGCTGCCCCTGTTCACGTGTATGATGGATGAGCCAGCCATCATTGCACTCAACCATATTTGAGGGAGCTCATCGATCCGGCCCACCACGCCGCCACAAGTTTAAAACTTTATAGCGAGCATAACTGTTTCAAGTTACTCCATTACGTCATTTATATTATTTAGTCGGAAGTTATTCATTAAATAAACAAGTCATTTATGCCTTTACGATTACATTAAAATGAGAATTGGGCTAAGCCTCAATCTTTCCGGGACACTAACTCCATTCTCATAGTACATCTATTGTTATAGATTATGAGATAACAGAATATTATAAGTAGTGGTAATTTTTCTTTGTAAATTAAACCTTATTTGAGGTGAACAATAAAATTACCACTTGTGACTTGTAATGATAGATTCATTTTATTAATTACCAATGCTTATCAGTGATGACTTACCGACTAATTAATTACATTTTTTTTGTTTATCTATATAGTTTCGTTTTACTATGTCATTTTGTTGTAATTAATATGAAATTTTAAATGTCATTGCAACATTTAAAATAGGTCTATAAACAATACAGTAAATACTGCATCGATATATGCTCTACCTGTAATCAAATATTCATAATTACATTTTGTTTATTAACCAGTGCTAAAAAGTTTTTTACATAATTGCACGTCCTGTTATTTTATTTTTCAGAAGTTCAACAATTGAATAACAATTAAAATTAAATTAATTAAATATACGAAATTAACACTGGAAAAATAATTAATCTAAAATCCTAATAAAATTACATATAATTTTATTTTGGTTTAGGTATTCCGTAACTTTACAAAAACATTGTTTCTGAAAATAAGATTTAATTCTTAATTTATATTCATATGTGCACACAGATAAGATAATATTACATATATGTGAGTAATTGTTGACTTGCATAGATAAAGTTTATTACTTTTTACATATATAATCTAAATTCCAATAAAAAAAAATCTGTCTCGTTTAACAATTTTAGCAAGAATAGGTTATGATAACATTGTACTCATTTCGCTTGTGATAATTATTAAACAATAGTTCTGACCAGGACAGGTCTATTATCTATTTATCTGTATATGGATTACAATATACATAACATAGCTGTAGTTTAATAGTAATTTTCATTATTAAACATGAACTTGTATATAACATATTTAAAAATAATAAGATTTTTTTTTTATGGGAAAGCTAGTAAAAATCAGGCAAGTATCTTCATATTTCAGTAAATAACTAAATATCTTTATATATCTTATCAGCAAGTATCTTGCAAATATATATAAAACTACTATACTAACTATATATATAATTACAAAACATAATAAAAACACACAAACACGGGACCCGGGATACTTCAAAACACGGGACTTTTAATAGTTCTTATAGTTCTATATGTAAATAATTCAGACTATGTATGGTATGTAAATAATATCTCTTATTATATTATATATATTTAATTGAAACAAAAAATAAAGCGATAAATATATATCTATTGAACTTGACATACATATTTAATACGATAATTTAATTAATGAGTTAAAACTTCTCAGTAAACGATGTTTTTTTTTGTAAAATCTTTGGTTCGAACAAAGACTTTGACCATAAATAAAAGAGTATATAACAACTACACATCACGACTGTTGTAGCAGATGTGGTAGTCAGAGGCGTTTTGAACTATCGATTGTATTGGACACACTTGATTCGCTCACTTTTGAATAAAAATTTTATAATCAGCATAGCAAATTTATCTTGTATTATTTTGTTATGTACTCGGAGTTTCCATCACTAGAAAGTCAATTGAAAACGAAATTTTTCAAAATATAAATTTTTGACGGCGGACTTTGAGATTTGAATTCACGACCTATTCATTTAATCTTAGTACTAAACAACTAACTCACGACGTTATCTCGACATTATTATAACTGTACGATATTGGGAGCACTGCAATTTGGATCTGTGTTAATCCAGAAAACTTCATTTCCAGAATTATGCCGACACTAATATGTATTACGAGGTTGTATTCAATAGCTTCGTAAAAGCGGTCACTATTGCACGAAAGAATCAGTTCATAATATTCACTTGGTCATCATCTGCATTATAAAAACTTACCTTTATTCCGCGGACGCTGCTTGTGGTGAATACAAGCAAATGTATATATAATTAAATCATAAAATTTAAAATATGAACAAACCATCATACAAGTCTTATGTAATTTTAGTGTAGACAATATATAAGAGACCTAAGATATAAGATATATGTATATATATATATATGCATGTGGGGGGACAGGAGACAAAGTGGACTGATGATATACCACGTCAGATTAAGCTCCACGCAGTTGCCTCTGGAAACTATCATGATAAATTTCTGTTGAAGATGTGCTAGTTGACCAGACCTCACGTTCGTTACTGGTGTCTTAGACACAAACGTAAACACCAATATTTCTTTCATGCTCGTATATTGCTCATTCGGTCCTTTATATTAATTTATAACTTATATAGATAGATATAGAAATAATCTTTATTCAAATAAACTCAATACGAGCACTTTTGAATAATCATATTTTTTTATTCTACCACTCATTCGGACGACAAACTCGGTGGTCTAACGGTTTAAAAGCTTTACGTCCGAGTTCGATTCCTCGCACGGCACAAACATTTGTATTCATGAATATGATTGTTTGATTGATCGTCTGGGTGTTTTTATGTATATGTATATATTTACAAAAAAAATTATCTATGTATTTGTATCAGTTATCAAACCCATAATACAAGCTTCATTCTTATTTCGATCTAGATGGTGCTGTGTGAATTGTCCTGAGATTGTTATAAATATATATTGCCCCACTTATTGATTTCGCATAAAATTCAGATATTTTTTTTTCTTTTGATGGTGATTAACTTAATCAAGCAAGTACATTTTGCTATTTACAAGTTAATTCAGTTCTTCATTCAAAGATATAGTGGTCAAGGTTTTGGATTATGTCATGGAACAATAATAATCCAATTAATGAAAGAACTTAGCCTCCTGTTACAATTGTTAGAATTATCAATTCACAAGTAATAATAATTTACGCTGTGGAATGTCAGTCAGGCTGACTGCCGAACTGATATCTGATAGTCTATATAATAATAATAATATCTTTGGACAATTCGCACAGTGCTATCTAGGCCCAAAGTAAGCAGAGCTTGTGTTATGTGTACTGTATACGTATATGTATATATCTGTACTACTGAACAACTAATATATAAATTTAGATGCAGAATTGATAGATCATACTTTTTTTTGTAAATATATAGATACTTACACAGATACATCTAGACCAATACAAATAATCATACTCATAAATACAAATGTTTGTGCCGTACGAGGAACAAAACTTGCGAACATCCGAAGTAAAGCGATATGCTAAACCGCTAAATCACCGTGGCCGTATATATTTAGGTACGAAATCACGCAGACGACTTTCGTGTAAAGTCAATGTTGGTAGATCGGTGTTACTTAAAATGTACTCTACATACAAAAAGAGTATTAGCAATTTTTATTATCAGATCAGTATTTGATATCTATTTATATATTTGTACATATAACATAAGGTATTAAACAAATCGTATCAACGTCTAGACAGTTATATCTCTAAATCCTTGGAATTGATTTTTTTAACCTAGTTATAGGAGTAGATTCCGTATTTCTCAGATATTAGGCCGTGTTTCCGATAAAGCCACGAGAGATGTTTTTTACTTGCTTCTATTCTAATCTATCGTTATACATATCTGTAAGAAATATATGAAATTGCATTTACATAAATAGTAGTACTGATAAAATATTATACATCTATTTTGTATTAAAAAAATTGAGGCAAAGCTTTTATTCCACCGAAATGGCAATGAATGAGGGCTAACCCGGGCGTCAAATAGTGACATGAGGTCACCAAAGGTTTTCATGTAGGCGACATTTGCCGTTTACCATCCGTCAGATTGTTTGTCCTTCCAAATCATCATTTTTTTAGGATTTACTCCCAAACAACCTAGAGTTCTAAATAGAGTAATTATATTGCTCTATTTTTATTAAACTTTTTTTAATCTTTGATAATAGAATGGTGTACACGCCCACGCTAAAGGTATCCGCTGGTAGAGCACCAGTGGAGGATGAGGAATGTAGAATGTAAAGTCAGGCTAGTTAACCTATAGTGACGAATTCACTAGGACTAAAGTCGACATGGTATATTGACCGCAAACGGGTCCCTCTTTATGTAATATCATCTTATCTGTGCTGTTACTAACAACACCCTTAAATTCATCTAAGAAGTACGTTATAATTAGTTGTCAGTGAATGATTCAAAATCATTTATGATATCTGGACAAAGTATTGAAACTAAATACTATATAGAGAAATAATATGCTCAAGTGTCACCCGTATGCAAATAAACGCATGCAGAACGATTTCCCATAACAGAGTGACGTAATACAAAGCATCAGTAAATGCATAATAGTTCGGAATAAAACTTTTAAGTTAACAAATATTAGTATATTAATCTACAGCACTTAAAACAAATTTATAATTTTTTTTTACACAGTTCTAACAGGATTCGACATAAAAAATCAATTATATATAAGGGATTCAAACTTGCTTCATGTTATGGCTAAGGCATTGTAATTAGCATAAGTAATTATCTAAACTAACTGAAGTTCTAAAGTTTCCATTAAAATCCTCAATATGAAACGCTATGGCGAAATTCGGAGATATGATTTACGTTTAACCACTGAACATAAACTATAATTAAATTACGATTTCCTGCCAAGAACTGCCAAGAATATTGGTAGAGTCTTCTTGAAATGAATGGCCGTTCGAGTTTTGCGATCGTAGTAAAACCGGCTCGAAGAGTGGGGGTTAACGAGCGATGGTTTACCATCGCAACGGAACAAGCCAACCGCTCCTAGCTCAGTTGTCATTCGACAGCGCTACGAGAAAGACGCGGCCTTACGACTGCGTGTTCTCAAAACTTTACGCGACTAACAACTGCAGTGTTTTCGGAATTTGAACTGAGAGTGTTTAGTTGCAAGTGACAGTGGTTTAGTGATGACTATAGAATGGAACAGCCTACTCTCGTGTCTCCTGGACAAACGTTGATGTCAGAGGGAATGGAAGCGAGGGACCGGCTCGTTAAGGAGATAGTACTCCTGGCACTTTTCTTGGTCTCTACAGCGGCTAACTCGTTGGCGCTATTAGTTTTCTGCCGACGACCTGGACTTAGAACAATATCCAATAGGTAAGTTTTTAAAAGTTTATGTTTTCCTGGTACTTTAAACTTAAATTTAGAAGTTGCTCTTAATAGTTAGAAAAAATACTTCTTTCTTCTAAATTATTACTATTAAGTATAATTACATAATTAAACCAAGGTTATTAAGTTTATAAATGAATAAGAAATTAGTTAATACAACACCCGAAATGCGATGCCTCATAAAATTCGTTTCGCAATATTTCACCTTTAACTTTGGTGAATTTGAATATTTAAATCTATATTGAACAGAATCGAGTTTTATTAAATCCTGTTTCAAAACTTAAAGACAATAAAAATTACTAGATTGTTACTATAGAGTATGCGGCACTTAAAAAATCTCTCACAGACACCTCTCACACATAACACAAAGCAAAGAATTTCCAAACAGTCATTCAAAACAAGAGGACGTAAACCCAAAACATCTTAGTAATATTCAAACAAAACTGTTTTGAAATCGGGCCACAACTTTAAAAGTTGATTTTTTGTTGTCATGTGTCCCTAAGTTGGATTGGAGCCAAACTGTACAGTATTATTAGACTATTAGTGTCAGTGAGTACAGCTACCTGGGATCTTTATGGTAGATTGTGAATCTTGTTCGATAGATTTACGACACAAGAAAAATATTGTTACGTGTGTTACTTATCGTCAGTAAATTACCAAAAGAGTGTATCAAACTTTTTCGCAGTTACAACATTTTAAAAAATATGGCTTTTTTTTCAACTAATAAGCATTAATATTGAAGTAATATTAATAATATCTTAAATGAATGACTTAAAAAAATAAATAAGTACCTTAAATATTTTGATATTACATAGTGCTTTTGAAGCGTTGCTAAAACTTGCCTAATGTTTAAAACAACACGTGGATTTGGAATTTTTCAATCACAAACTTTATAAAATCAAATAGATTGTATTTGTAAATTCATTAGATAACTTTATTGCTTTTCATGGCTGTAGTAAGTTTCGCCATGAGACTGTTTGACCGGGGCCCGTTTCCTTTCGACAATATAGAAATAAAAAATGTACCGAACATCGTAACGGTAGTTAAACATCAGAGTGAACGTCCTATTTTGTTTATATTAAATAAAATATCTATACATTTAGACAAATACTTCATCTAGATAAATTGGAATTAGAAAAGTAAAAATATCCAAATAAATTTATAAAAGATCTATAAAGTCTGACCTGTGTGACAGTATTCGCAAGGTCAATTTAATTTAAAGTATTAATTTCGTAGAGAAAGTATGTAAGTATATAAATATTTTGTAAATTTTTGTTGCCACACAAATGAAAGTTTTAAGATAACCCGATTAATAATGTCAATATGACTTGAAAGAAATTGAAACGGTGTTTTTATAGTTATTTAACATATGAATGCAATTTGAAAAGTACATATTATCTGCTTTAAAGTATAAACGAAATTAAAGATATACATATGAACTGTTGACCGTAATATAATGATCCAATTGTGGTCCTGTAATACAGTCAATTAATGTTCATTATGAATTATATGAACGTCCAATTTTGAGGCTATAGGGTCAAAATTAATTCTTCTGAAAACTTTTATGTCTATACTCAAACACCATTTTGCTTTGAACAATTATCAACACAAATTACTTTGCTCATTTCTTTAGAAGTCATTAACGGTTGCGAGTTGACCGGTTTGTTTATACTTAAACATCCTCCCGATTAGTAATTTCGATTTAATCTCCTTGTTAGATGAAGCACATGTAGGCTTCATCTAACAAGGTATATTATTTTACTGTTTGGATTTGTATGCTTTAACATTTTTATGTTGTCCTGGTATTTATTATTATATTTTAATAAATTTATCAACCAAACGCCAAAAGTTTTTTTTTAATTCGACGGGTATTCAGGGTTTACCTTATGTCTTCGCCTAAATTTGCCAGATTCTTGATAATTATTTTTATAATCGATAGGAACTATTTTTGTGTGGACCACATATTATGTCCGAATTTGTAGTCGATTTGTGGAAGTATTATCTTTAAAACTTTTGTCTAAGTTAAGGGAGTTCCGCGTTATCATTCGAAATGCTTCTCTTATTATTAATACAAACAAAGCTGACCCCAAATAATTATATCCGACCAATTGTAACAATGCCGCAATACTCATGTATAGAGGTTTATGTGAATTTGATTTTGCAATTAGCTGGATTGTAGCAATATCCGATATTGCTAAGTCATAGGGCGAATGTAAAATTCCACTAGAAATCTTATCACAAACTTCTTGCGATATTATCTTTATTTATTTATGATATTGCAGTAGTAAAACATGAGCTTATTCAGTCTCATACCTATATATAAGATTACTTTGTTTTCATTGGGATTATTTAAAGTTATTGTATGCAAGTATTAAAACAAAATATTATTAAATATTACTAAAATATTTATTTATTGAAATATATTTATTAAAGTGTATTAAAATTATAACACCGTTGAGTACAAACAATATAAAGAATAGTGGAATGCAAAAACTATTATTAAGTGCATACAAAAGATTATGAAACTTTACGATATCGCAAATTCTTTTATGAATCAAGTTCTAAAAAAATGATTAGAATTTTCTCATAATGTTATTGTTTTTACATCATGAATATAATCTATTTATTTTAAACTAGTTGCCCACATTAGCAGCGGGTGCACTAATGTAGAACTATTTTTTATCTAAATTTTCTTAATTTTTAATTCATTATATAAAATATTTAGTATATTGTCAATATTTTTAAACCAATTTTTTTATCTTGTGCAATTTTTCATACATTATGTTGCAATACTAAGTTATCTAATATCTTTACTTTTAGAAATTGTTTTTTTTTTTACTGTGTCCTAACATTTGCTTGCTACATTATTGCTGTATCATTAATTGTATATTTTTTGGTATATTTAAGAATGTAATACAGAAAGAAATAACATACCGTAACATTTTAGTTTTGGTTTCTAAAACAATTGGACCAATACCAAAACTTAAAAGTAAACGATCTTTTAAGTTTTGGTTATAGTCCGGTTGTATGTTTGGCATTTCTAAAATTCTTTGTATATCTTCTAACTCGAAATATATGAAATACCATTTGTTTAAATATTGTTGATTGCGCGCCTCATTTGATATAATTACTTCTTTATTGAGGTATGTAGTTTACTGGGTACCTGTTATGTATATACTGGTCATATGGAATAATACCAAGCCTGAATTTATAGTTAGCATTTTACTACATTTTTCATCAAATGAATTTAAGATATCAAAGCTCTATTTGTGAAATACTTACATGTATTTCACAAACAGAACAGTCTTAAAATTAGGAATATAATTAATAGCCTAATTATATATGATATGTTGATAAGCCAATAATAAATATTTCACCTGTGTATTTATAAACTATAGATAGAAAGATTGTATATATATAAACAAATACATTGAGCAGAAAATGACACGGAAAGTCACATAAATCTCAAACGCGAACGATAAATTTATCAAAATTAATAATGAACTGCAGAGTGGGTCAATAGCAGACGAATGGAATAAACCATTGAAGTAATGAACAATATCAACAGTACTATCAACATTGGCGTTTCTTTTCTTGCATAAATCCTTGGTGCTATATATTGTGAACTATACAGGCTGGTGCCCGTGGCTTTGGGCGCAAAGTATTACGAGGAAATTTAAAAAAATCTTAGTAGATACAGACATATATATAAAATAGAGTTCTAAGTTCTTTGTCCCAAATTTTTGCTTTATAAATTTAATACTTTTGTTTTAATGATTCAGGATTTTAACACCAAAAACAAGTGAATATTTAAAATAATTGAAAAGATCTATAGTTACAACAATAAATAAATTACAAAGAAAAAAATTAAAAGAGATTTTAATAGTATATATACTGTTTATCTTTACTAAATAGTTCAAACCACTATTTAGTAAAGATAAAAAGATTTAATCTTATTATAGCGGCTTTTCAAACTGATTTAAAGCTTGTATTTAGAATAACTTAATATTATATTATTACTAGGAACAGACAAACCTCGCTACCAACTTTGGTATGGAGAAGTGATAGTAGAAACTTATTTCCTGGACTTTAAACAAAGTTTGCTGTTAGCCTTGTAAATTGAGAGTTTGGTACTGAACCAATTAAGGTCTTGTATTTAATTTTATATTCAATTCGCATATGCTTATTATATGTCCTTCTGTTTTTTTTGTAATCAAAAATATTGCATTGAGATATATACTGTGTTTATTATAAACAAACTCAATGCAGGCGCGCTGAATGTATGTATGGGGTAAAATTATTCTTTATGCTAATTTAGGATACATTTTATTTGAATTCATTCCAGTAGTATTATTTGTTTGTAAGAGTAAAAAAAAGCCAGGACAAAGTATAGAGTGTATACTCTATCCTGAGGAGATAAAAACCATTGCTCACAAGAATATCCTTCAATTCTAGTCCCCGACGGGTTTAGGTAGCGAACTTTGAAATAGGGCGAGCACAATAGATCCATGTAAGTCGCAGTTCTACGGGTCTAAGGACCTGAGAATAAGCCAAAAACCATAGATTTACGATAGTCAAAGGCCTTTGATTAAAGTGTAATATGTATATATTTTTAAATTGTTTTTATTGTTTATCTAACTAATAAGATATCAAATTAATTGCTATAGTTTCTAATTGATTCGTACATAGTAATGCTACTGTTATTGTGAGATGTTAATATATATTTAATAGTTTGTATTTAATTAATTAGACATTGTTTGTATTCTATAGTAATCTATTCTATAATTTGGAAGAAACCACATTCTTATAAAGTTACAGTATTTGTCCATAGTTGTTTTAAAACAGTTCAATTGCACTCACTTAGTGATACGTCGCTCCATCGTCATTTTTAAATGTTATTTTTATTTTATTGTTCATATTATCACTCGGACTCGGTTATCATTGTTTATAATTTCTTTTATATTAGTCATAATACTGCATTCTGGAGA